CACCTTGTCGCCCTCCTCATGCCCGTCATACCACACATGAGATCAAATTTGCAGAGACAAGACAAATGAACTACATCAAAACTTATCTCAAACAAGTTAACTCCTGACTGAAAGAGGACTGATCGAGATGACTGAGTAAACCGCATGTTTTCACATGTGCTCTGTACTGCACATGATGAGAGGACCATGGTGGAAGCGGTGAACTACATGTCAGGCAACGGCCATTGGGCAAAGGGCACTCCACCGTGACCAGCCAAAGTGCATCAGGAGCACATCTGCACTGGTCACTAGGGCGCAGTTTGTTTCTGTTTTTTTATGTTTCTCCCCTCTCCTGCAAAAAACTGTAAATTGAATCGGAAGAACATCAATTTACGTTTGCAGTGCACTCAATATTTTCTTTAAGAAGTGAAAAGAGCGAAGAAGAACATGAGCATCACCGCTAAGTGCACTTTGGCTGACATGCAGTTTGCCCGCCGGAGGACAGCGACGCACACCGAATCGAAATGTAGGACATGACCTGAGAGATGAGGGAAGGGATGCACCAGGGGCCGAGGGGCATCCATGGCGAGCGCAGGTAAACACTTGGTGGCCAAGGTGCCACAGGGTCGTCGATGAGGGAACGCTGGTCGAGCGTGGGCCACAGGCTCACGCTCCTTTCGAGGTGGATTGCAGAGTGGAGGTCGTCGGAGAGGACCGCGGACTGGCCGGAATCTGGAGTAGAAGGTCGGCCGGCTGGCACGGGATCCATGGGTCCGTGGCCGGGGTCACCGGATCCAGCAGTGTGGGTCGGGGGCGGCGCGCCATGGAGGCACCTGCGCCAGCTCGGTGCGGGAGCGAGGCCCCGACGATGTGGCGGTGGTGGCGGAAGGAGGAGGGGATGCCGGAGGTGGAGGTGCTGCTCGATTTGGAGATGGGGAGAAGGTGGGGGAAGGGTGGAGATGCGGCGGATGGGGGTAGGGCAGCGCTCGAGCGGCGAGGGCGTGGCAGCTCGGATCCATCAGCGGGAGTCCACACCCGGCGCTGGCGGATCTGGGACGCGGTGTCCGGAAGCTGTGGGCGGCGAGCGGCGCCGGGCTGGGAATCAGCGTTGGTGGGGCAGAGGTGGTTGTGGGCGGCGCTCTAGTAGGTGGTGGCCGAGCGGCGCGATGGGTGCGGGACGGCGTCGGGGAGGACGCGGTGCGGCCGGTGAGATGAAGGTGACACCGGTGGGGAAGTAGTGGGGCGTGGCTCCTTGGAGGAAGGAGGAGGAGGGCGGGGGGTCGCGGGGTCTCCGGCCCATCCCATCAGGGCGGCGCAGGAGGAGGCTGGCGGGGCGCAGTGCTGGATGGAGGCTGGGCAGTGAATCGTGGATTCGTGGGGTTGTGGGGGTCATGGCCATGGAAGAAGATGGGGGTGGAGCGGGGTTTGACTAGTGGAACAGGTGGGGTAGGCATGCAACTTAGTCCGTCTGTCGTGGGATGCGGCGCCGGTTTTAGCAGAATAAATGATTCGGTGTGCAAAATAAGGTCTTAAGGGGTGTTATTAGAATAGACCCACCCTATATATATATATATATATATATATATATATATATATATATAAGTGGAAAACACTAAAATTAACTTCTTGCTTACCCAAAGTCTAATGATTCCCTGACGGCTGTGCGGTGGTAGCAAATCAGGAGTGGGCGGGGGAATGAAAGGGAAGAAGCTGATGGTTTTTAGGTGGAGCTCGATGGGGTAAAATGAGTAGGCTAATGCTGAGATCCAATCGATGCAAACCAAATGAAACAAGAAAAAAATTGTAGATCCTTGCACCATGTTTGAGCTGCAACACTTGCCAATACAACTTCTAAAATTTCTCACCAAACTGAATATGATTGGACACTTGCTCAACACCTTTCTCTCTCTCTCTCTCTCTCTCTCTCTCTCTCTTCCTCCTTTTGCTCTCTCTCTTTTTTCCTCTCTTTTTTCTATTTTAGTCTGTAACACAATAGATCCAACAAAAAGACTCGCAAAAAAACAGCAGCAACTTCAGATAGAACTTGGTGCAAACACAAATAGGAAAGCAAACAACTAGATCTCAACAAACAAAGGCTTGGATTTTTTGTGGCCTTTTGGCTTTGGACTCTAGACGGGGAAAAATCAAAGTAAAAAGGATAGATCTAGCTATAAGGATACAGATCCTACCGTGTAAACCTTGCTATGCGACAACTTCTTCGGAGAAGATGATGTACAAGGGGTGGTTCGTTTCACGGCGTAGGATCGATGAATGGATGGGGATAACTAGCTGCAAGCAGCTGGAAAACGAAAAATAAGAGATTATGATCCGACGAGGAGGATGCTAACTATAGCCTAGAATCTGAACATTTGCCGATCCACAACCCACAATACTACCCCACACAACCACACTCAAGTCGTGGAGCATGGGATAGGTGCAATCCGCAAGGGAACCCACGAACTCTAACCCACACAACACGATCTAGTCACGGAGCACAGATTAGGAGCGACTTCTCAAGGAATCACGAGAATAAGGATAACAAGAGCTCTCCAATCTCAGGAGGAGTCTATGTCTTTGGTCTTTGATAGAAATGGCAAAAGTCCCCAAAGAAGGGAAGAGCTAGCCTATTTATAATAGGGACACCCCCTGGATAGGTGTGAAATCAAACTAGTTTTGGAAACCAGTTTAGGTGTGGAAGAGAACCAACTTTGGCTTGACTAAACGGGCTTTGAGATTTAATGAGGTAGCTTCTAGAAATCTCTCGTTGGAGGTGGTTGGCGGTTCCCGACTAAACATTGTTCACTGGAGTTAAACAATGTTCCTTCAGCAGCAAAGTCGAGTTTTGGAAACCTTTCGTGAGGTGGGATATCCAAACTCGTGCAAAACATTGTTTCACGCTAGGACAATGTTTCTTCAGTAGACAACCTATTTCTTCAAAACTTTGTTTCTTCATCATAAAACATTATTTTGGCACGGACTGAAAATGTTGTTGGTCTTCTTCGATGTTCAGTAGACAACCTATTTCTTCACAACTTTTTTTCTTCATCATAAAACACTATTTTGGCATTGACTGAAAATGTTGTTGGTCTTCTTCGATGTTGCACCTGAGTTCAACCAACAACGAAGGAGAGGTGAAGGCACAACCATGTTTTCAAGGTCAAATGATAAATTTAAGTTAGCGTTCACCTGATCATGTATTTGCTTTGCACGACTTTTTGCGATTGGACCTTTAATGATGGGTGGTGTAGTGTCCATTGTTGGGATGACCTCATTAGAAAGGGATCGGCAATTTGCTACTACGGCTGAAGCCAGTTCATAAAAAATGTACTCTACCATTTGTGAAGTCCAGAGCCCAATCACAAGTTGCAAGTTGCAACACACCAGTTCTTGATTCCAAGGAAACAAAGTTCATGCCTCGGGGGTACTCACCGCGGGTATGCTGGACAAGGTGGCAGCAGCCAGGATGGCGGTGAGCCACGGATCTGGAGGGGGATTCGCCGCTCCAGGTTGGATTAGCGCCGAATCTAAGGGATCTCGCGTATAGGGAGTAGGGAAGCGGGGACGGGATTCAGGCAGGGTTTGTGGTTCAAGAACAAATCATCACCGCCGATGGAAGACAGGCACACGAGACGAAGGCGAGTAGAGTTTCTAGCCAGAGTGACTACAGCGTGTTTTAATTTTGGCTGATTAGCCTCACGTGAGCTTACACTTTTTTTTAGACCGAAGACGTTCGACGCGTCCGGCTTTAACTTAATAAAGCCCACAACAGGCAGTGTACACACGACCAAAGTCTTACAACACGTTCAGGCCCACAAAAGCTCTAACGAAGCACGGGCAGAAGTTCAGGATTACATGCCGAAGGCGGCAAGACCAGAGCACGGAGGCTCACAGAAATAAAACCAAAAGGAGGCACCAAAACCTACGGTGACGGTGCAGGAGCTCTCGCCAAAGTGTAGACCTGTCGAAGACGAGCGAGAGCGAACTACAACAGATCAGCGTCTTGGCGCCTTCCCAGCGGTGCCCACTGCTGCAAAAAGATGACACATTTGAAGATAACATCAGCCGGGTGTGAGGGAAACACTCCCTCGATCGTAAGTTTGTTCCTAATGTGCCAAAGTGCCCAAAGTAATGCCCCCACACAGCACCACATGACACGTCTGGCGGAACCAGATACTGACGACAGCAAAGCACACATCTCAGAACATGACCTAGGATCCCAATCCCGGCCAGCGGCCTCTCGGACCACACTCCATGCAAACCGGGCCAAGTGGCATTGGAAGAACACGTGGTTAGCAGTTTCGGGCTCACCACATACCGCGCAAGACCCGTTAGACGGTCCGTTGCGTTTGGCAATATTTACCGATGTGGGGAGCTTGTCACGACACAATTGCCAAAAGAAAATCTTGATTTTCAGAGGCAGCCTAGCCTTCCAAAGCCCGGCCGCAACTTGCTGCTGGGTACCCCTAGGGAGAGCTCGGTAAAGGGAGTTTACTGAGAACTTGCCGGAGGCATTGAGGCGCCAAGACACCACGTCCGGGCCTTGCGAAAGGGCAACGCCCTCCAGAAGAGTCAGCAAGTTTCCCAAACTTGCCGTCTCCGGGCCAGTGAGTTCCCGCCGAAACTGCAGCGCAGGAGGGGGCTCGGCCAAAGCTTGCGCCACAAAAATGTGAGGTTCAAGCGCAATGTTAAACAGCTGTCTGAAACGGGACCAAAGAGGTTGGTCACCAATCCATAGGTCCGTCCAAAAACGCGCTGAGCAGCCATCCTTTACCGGGAACTTCGCCCCCATGGGCTTACACTTTCACGCTTCCAAAATTGGTCTACGCTTTCACGTGGTTTACTCTCTCTTCATTTCAAATTGCTTAAATTTTCGCAAAGTTTATACAGAACCTCGTCAAAACAGCTTCCAGATTTTTCACACACAGACAACCAAATAAGACCAGTAAAGCTGAGACAAATGTTGTCCGTGGATCAAAATGATATCACCGAGCCAAAACAAAACTAGCAGAAAAGAGTAAGTTTTAGTCGCTATCATCTTCGTCTTCTCGTGTTTCAAGCTGGGAGACAACCTTTTCTATGAACTTCCTGCGAACGCCTTCCATGACATTGTTACGGGATGAATCGCCACCACCTTGTCCATCATTCAGTACTGGGTCTGAATGGCAAAGCGCCAATGCAACAGCTGAAATAAACAGAATGAAAGTCTAGCATAAAGAGTGGAAGACCGTGCATTACACTTAAAGATTACGTGTGCTCACATCAGTTAAGTGGTCAAGAAAAATCCGTTGTCGTTTCTTATTCACAGGACATATTCGATTTTAATGGTAACAGCAGCATAACAGTGAACTAGGCATGCCACTGTATTAGGCACTCATCTAAAATTTGTTCCCTCGATTTTTTTTCCTGTATGTCATATGATGCAAGGCAAACATACATCAGGACCATATATCCACCGTAGACATGCCTGTCATAATGAACATGATTTCCTCTTAGTACGGAAGGAAAAAGCCTCATCCTAAGGTCAAAGATTATAGTCACGTTAAGCCATCTAGATTGTAATATCCACAGAAATTGTGAATTGTATCCTGCGACTGGCTAATTGAAACATCCTAATATCGCACACTGTTCACTGGTGTGTACTGACAATATTTTTGCCCAACCAACTAAATAAAGAAGAGTAACTTGAACTAACCTCACAAAAGAAAACTTGAACTAACATAATGGAAACTGATTGTGTGGTACAACTTACATTCAGGTGTGCATTTCTTTCCACCGAATTTCTGTAGACCAACATAAGTCCCTTTGACAGCACTGTTGTTGTACACCAGTATTGTAGGAACATTCCTATCTGGGTAGTTGGGAATACAGTCCGTGGAAATAATTTTAACAAACTTGGTTTCTGCATATTTTGTTGCCAGTTCCTCCAGGCAAGTCTCAAGCAGCCCACATTCTGGTATCCTGCGATAAGATCCATAGAAGTCTCAGACAATGAACAGTTCGAGGTAGAATTTCTTCCTAAAGTCATTTCTGTATTATAAGCACCTGTGGGAAACAGTTAAACAGCATATAAAGCAGAAGCACTGCAAACGTCTCACAGAAGCATAGGGCATAATGGCCTAAAATCCTACAGTTTCCAGTCAAAATGAGTATAAATCAAAATAGGAGCAAAGGGCTTTTCGTAGGCTGCTGCTCTGTGCAGTTAAAGATGGGATCCAACCTGTTCTGTTTGCGGAGAGCGTGTGGAGTAAATCGAAGTAGAATAGAAGAGGAAAAATATCATGGTGGTATGGTTTGCTAAGCTGGGTTATCTTGTTTATTTTGAAATGGTAGTTCAAAAATCACGTGCATACAAGGTCAGATTTTGCCAGAACTATTTCAACACAACTATATCTTTACGGACGGAGTATGTATAGTTAGACACTTAGTTACGAATAAAGTTCTACCTACATGCGCATAAAAAAATTAGCTGTTTCTTGGTGTAGTTTTTGACAGAAGAAGGGCATCATATTGTAAATAGGATGAATTTCGCCTTACGCATCCTTGTAGAGGAAGACCACAACCCAGACATCCGGTGGAGCCTGCGAAACCTCACGCACAAAATCAGAGCCTGTGATGGGCTGTACTGTGCCGAATCTGGCAGTTTTTGCTGCCTCCTTGAGCTCTGCAAGCCTCATCCTCCTGTAAGCACACCACAACATCAGAACATCAGACAATTGGTGGACATGGATTTTCTGGCTCCATGGATCAGAACGACACTTCTCGCAAGTGGTACCAAAACAACTGAAATTGTACAGTAGTGCCCCGAGCCCGGATCAAAAACAACTGAAACAGAGCAGATTTCTGTGGAAATCACACGAATTACCTCCATCCTACCGTGTAATTCGGATCAAATCATTCACGAAAAGCACCAGTGGAACACATCTCATGGATCACCAGACGTGCGGGAGACTAGATCGAGGCCGAGGGGAAAAGAGAGAGGGGCGCACCTGTACTGCTCGAGGAAGCGGTCATCGTCGAGTTCGTCCTCGAGCTCCTCGAGCTCGTCGGGGTCGCGCGCGTCGAGCCACTCCTTGGACTTGGGCTGCTCGTCGGCGTCGACCCTGGGGGCGAAGGGCGGCGGCTTGAAGGGCTCCGGCTTCTCGGGCAGGTTCCCGAGTTTGCGCTGGATGTCGTCCCACTGCGTGGTCGCCCCCTCCACGTCCTTGTACACGAAGTGGTAGTCCGCCATGTCCGAGCCTCGAACGAGCGAGCGAGCGAGAGACAGAGATCGGGACAGAGATCGGAACGAGGAGGCTGACAAGTGGACCCCACGTACTCGCGCTGGACGCTATCGCGCGTGGGACCGGATCCGCGTGTGGCAGGTTGGGCCCGCTTGTCATTCAGACAGAGGCTTTCCGCTGGACGAGACGGCGCCACTGATCGCGAAACAAAAACCAAGGAGATGAAGCGGAGCGGGAGAAGATCATTCTTCGGGGCGGCGGAGACGACGGTTGCCATCTCGCCAACGACACCATCCTCCGAGACCGCGACGGTTGGCCATCTCGCCAACGACACCATCCTCCGTCATCGAGGCCGCGAAGGAGTTCATCCCAGAGAGGTAACAACATGTAGCACTGAAGAAGAAGGTGAGTGATACTTTCGCAAGCACCACAGAATGTGCATGCATCTAAGGTGGCAATTGATCTCCGGAAGCGTCTCTCATTGGTGTAGACACAGTCCTTGCGTGCAAGCCAAATGAAAATTCTGCTTTTATTTGACGCATAATTCCTCCAAATGGTAGGAGCGAGCTGGTTGGTCGGCTGCGCTAGCCAAAGCACCGAATAGGCCATTTTGGTTGTAAGAGGTTTACCTCCCTGTCTGCCAATCCTCTTGTCTTGTATCTGCAAATTCAAGTTAATTGTTGCCAAAGTAGCACGCAATTCCCCCAGACCACGTTCAGCCGCGTGAGATAATTGATTTGTGAGGTCTAGGTTAAGTTTCATAGGAGCTAGTACCCGAGCCACAGAGGCGGACTACCGCATGTAGTGTGAGAAATGGGTTGGGAAATGAACAGCCAGATTGTTAGTGGAGTTGGGTAGCCAAAGGTCGTCCCAGACGAAGGTGGATTGAACATTACCCATAGAAACCATGGTGATGGATCGGAAGAAATCAAGGCCTTTGAAAATGTCCCGCCAAGCAGGAGTGGCAGATTGACCGCAAGGGCCCAAGTCATGAACCAGAGATCACCCGTATTTGCTAAGGAGGTAATGAGGAGTCAACTGATTGCCTTGATCGTGGAGTTTGGACAAGTGCTTAAAAAATAAACACATATTTAAGTGTTTAAGAGACGAAAAACCCAAATCGCCGTTAGTACACACTACAAAAAAAAACACTTCCGTGATGATACGTATTTGTTACAGTAGGTCACATTTTCTGTCATGCATGTACATCCATGACGATTTTATGACAGAATCAAGATAGTCATACCTGTGCTGTCGTAGAAGTGTTCCATGACATTACAAAAATTATCATCACGGAAGTGTCCATTTCCATGACGATAAATCGCGCGTCATATAAGTGCTTTCGTCAAGGGTGACCGACACGTGGCATCCACCATAACGGAACGCTGTTAAGCTATCGGGTCCGGTTTTGGATCCGATAACCCGCTAACAGCCACGACCAATGGGGATTTTCCACGTGTAAAATTCTCATTGGCCGGAGGAAACACGTGTTGCCTCACCTTTGGGACAGATGTCATCCACTCATTGGACAGGAGCCGTCTATGATACGTCGACACGTGGCACGGCCCAACAGAAGCCCATTCCGGTGAAAAGGCCGGGCTTGTCAAAATAAGCGGGCCGGCCCATTAGTGGCCTACTTGAGTCAGGCCCATTTACAAGTACGGCCCATACAAGTTGCACATAATCGGCCCATCAAAGGCCCATTCTAGATTCTACAATTTCCAGCCCGTCGTTAGTTTAAGCCCGTTAACAGCCCGCTACGTTTTTGGGCCCAATTGCGGCCCTAGCTTCTTTCGGCCTATTAGCAGCCCATCGTCAGTTCCACCCCGTTAACGACCCGGAATGTCTTTCGGTCTTTTCTCTCGCCCATTCTGCAGTTGGGCCAATTCTAGCCCGCTGTGACTTTAGGCCTATCCTCGGCCCATTCGGTAAATGGGCCATCTCTTAGCCCATTTTGTCCCTCGGCCTGTTAACAGCCCGCACAACAGTTGGGCCTTTGACTTTAGGTCCATTAGGGGCCCACGTTCCGCAGGGCAAAGGTCCATTAGGGGTCCATGTTCCGCAGGGCATCATTTCAGCCCAACACGACTTTCGGCCTGTTAAAAGCCTAGTTTGCAAATTGGGCCTCCTCTGGCCCATAACACTTTTGGCCTCTTACTGGCCCGTAAAGTAAAAGGGCCGAGACACAATTGACATTTATTTTGGCCTGCTAAAGACCCGCGGGCCATTTCCATTTATACGACCCTATCGAGCTTTAGGCCTATTGACGGCCTGCTAAGCGCCGTTGTTATGGTGGGCCACATCATTTGGGATCCACTTAATATTATTTTTACTAGCCCAATTAAGGCCCGCTTTGACAGCACATGTTTGTCGTTTGTATGGCGTCCAGGAAATGTTTGGGCGTGTTGGCCCCTGTTTCAGCGATATAACATATTCAAGAAATATCCTACTCTATACTATCACCTCTAAAAAACACACACTATACAATAAAAAGACGGCATAGAAACGTAGAATAATCCTACACTATACAAGAAAGAAATTACAGCCGAATATACCCACTGGGCATTATAATTCGACACCAGTGATAATAAAGCGTACACAAACAGCAAATTACATACACTGGACAAATAAAGCTCATACATCATGGACACGCATCAACAGAACTTACCATTTGAACTATAATCTCTTCAGAAAATAGGATTGGCCGGATTCAGATAGCACAAATTTCAGTTTGCAAAATCTCCAATTACTTCGTGGTTACCTCAGTGTCTTGTTTCATTTTTTGACTCCTGCATCTAATACCTGCATGTCCAGTCTCAACTTGTTGATTGTACGTTGAGAATCATGTACACGTTGTCTTGCCACCTCTAGTTGATGTTCGAGAACATCAGCACATTCCAATTCCAATCCATAATCATTCGGTAACGGCCATGCCGCACTGCTCGCAGATCTTTGTGCTGATGTCACTTCATCCTGAAATGTTTCTGTAAGTACACATGACTAGGGCCAAGTTACAACAGTGAAGCGAGCAAGACAGACTATTTTGTACATGGCAAAACAGGACTAACAATAATTTTACACGTCATGAAGCATAAGCAAGTGATATTTTAAAAATTATAAAAAAGGTAGTATGTGCAGCCTGCATACAAAAATCTCTCTTAGCTCACCAGAGGAGCATGATGTTGGGGCCCAGTCCAAAACACAGACGAGTTAAAATTTAGACAACACGTTGCGTATAAGTAAGCAAGCAGTTGGCCATTCTGTAGCTCAATTAAAGTCTTAGGGAGCATAATGAACGGCAGAGGGATTCATACAAACCTACTACAGCAAGCAAAACTATGCAATCATTAGCCTAGTAGAAACTAGATTGTGAGCCTCATGCAATAATAGTTGGTTAATAGACTTCAAAGCTTCAGGCACACTTCGGCAGAGTAATTAAATAGTAAGGCCTTTAATTATGTCAACTAATAGTTATACAAGTACCCAACATCAGGCATCATTGTTTGGGCATCTCATTAACTGAGGACAAATAAAGCAATTGAAAAGATCAAATTAACTATGCCTGAAACAAACAAGGAATTGAACTGTTGAGTTGGATACAGTGACTTACCTTAACTGGTTGAAGAGGCTCAGCACAGCTCCTACTTCTCTTGCAAGGCTCCTTCCTAACATCTTGTACTTGGAAATCCTCGATCTTATCTTCATTGCACCCGCTATGCAAGGTGACACAAACTAGTTACTCGTCTCCTTGGAAGATAAATATGCATACTTTCCAGTCTGTGAACACAAAAGGATGAGATTATAACAAAACAACACCATATAATGAAACATGCCGCATCTCTTGCACTTGCAGACATGAAATGAGCATTTACTATGTCTACACTATGTAAAAACTAGGCATACCTTCAAACTGGATCTCCAGGTACTCTTGGAGAGCCTACTTTAGTGTACAGCCAAACCTTTATGTCACCTATAAGTTAGACAAGGCCCAACTATAGCAACCCTTAGTGTGTAAATCGTTGACAAGCTCTGTTAGAGTGTTAGGTCAGGAACAACAAGTAGTCAAAGCAAACAATCCTAGTATGGCTGGCTGATGCAAACAAGCAATTGAACAGATGTGTGAGCAAATCTTACATATCAAGAAAAGAAGCAAAGAAGGAGGCTTAAAGACCATCACTTGACTGACCAGATTTAAGGGGCATTTAAACATCATGTGCAACGTATGAACTAACATAAACATTGCATATTCCAGATTCTACAATGGAATGCACATGTATTAGGTTATGCCATGTATGATGATGCCTAAATGTACACTATAGCAGGCATGAGTGATTCATCATTGCACACACAATTGAATTGCAGGTTAAGGGCCAGTTCGATTCCACCTTTTCAGGACTTATTGTCAAAATAAGACATAAAAGATGTAAAGAAGTCATTTTTGAGTTATGGGCTTGGGCTTAACTTATTTCGCTTTGGAGGGGGGGTGTTTCTGGTAGAACCTCACTAAAAATATAAGGGAAGGGGAATGGTGAAATGACTCTATTGTCTGCCTATATTACACTCAAAATGCAACTGCTGACGCCCGCGTCACACCTGACCCTCAAGTAAAAACAAACACGCAGGCGTTCATTGCCCTGCCCGCTTGCATCTCCTCTCCCCTTTCCCTCTACCTCGATCCCCTACCTGCAGCACTAGGGTTCTTCCAGCGAGCCGTCGCCACTGGTCCCATCTGGCCTGGTCCTCGATAATGCTCTATCCAGCTAGGCTACATGGCCGGCGGGTAGGGGCAAATCTCCCTGGCTGCTCCTCCCTCTGGCGCCCCTCATTCTCATGGTCTCCAGCAGCTGCTCCACTGTGGTCCGTCCAATGCACTACTCCGGCGGGTGCCACACAACTATAGCTGATTCCACACTGCGGTAGAAGGCACCTTATTCCCCCTCCCCTCCTCCCAGGCCGTGGCCTTGAGGTGCTGTTGAAGGATGAGCTCATCCAACAAGGTGAGGATCTC